TGCTAGAATTACATGCCCGTGCTTTGCCAGCACTAAGGAAGAGACCCTGGCTGAAAATAGCAGTTGTTTCCCCTTCTTTCAGGTCACCTGGGACCTCACCCAATATATCAGACGTACTGTCCTTCCTAACCTCTGGAACCTGCCCACCTTTATCTTCAGTGCCTCTGTTTGACTAACTTTCCTTTTAATGTTTGGAACTCCTCTCAGGTGCTCATCGGTGGGCATATAATCGGTCCCAAAGGAGCTTATGAGCCAGTTCCAGTGCCTGCTAAAAGAAATGTGCAGTTCCCTATATTTCCCCTGCATAGGTCTATGTACTCAATTTTTAATGGGGCAGATTCTAATACTTACCACAGTAATTAATGACTGAAAGAAATATTTCATACTATTGTATTATTCTTATATTCACACATATATATTTTTTATTAAAGTATAACTGACATACAATGCTTTATTAGTTTCAGGTGTACAATGTAAGAGTTTGACATTTATACATATATCTTACTATGCGATCACCATAAATCTAAAATTTATCGCCATATAAAATTATTATAATATTGTTGACTATATTCCCTGTGCTGTATATTACATCCCTATGACTTGTTTATTTTATTTTAGTTTTTACTTGTTTATGTTATAACTGGAAGTTTGTACCTCTCAAACCCTTTCACCTTTTTGTTCATTACCCCAACCTCCTCCCTTCTGACAGCTATCAGTCTCTGTTCTCTGTTTCTATGAGTCTGTCTCTGATTTGTTTTGTTGATTTTGTTTTTTTAGATTCCACACATGAGTGAAATCATAGGATATTTGTCTTTCTTTGTCTGACTTATTTTAGCCTCTAGATCTACGTAACAGCTTTGTTGCTATTGCTTCTGGAGACACATCTAAAAATATATTACTGGGGTTGATGTTAAAGAGTTTACTGCCCATGTTTTCTTCTAGATGATTTGTGGTTTTAGATCTTATATTTTTTTTTAAATCCACTTTGAGTTTATTTTTATGTATGATATAAAAGAGTGATCCAGTTGTATTTTTTTTTGCATTGTTGCAAATGGTAAGATTTCATTCTTTTTTATTGCCAAGTAATATTCCATTGTGTGTATATAATATCCTCTTTATCCATTCATCTATTGATGGACACGTAGTTGCTTCCATAGCTTGGCTATTGTAAATGCTGCGGTGAACATAGGGGGTGCATATATATTTTTGAATTAGTGTTTTTATTTGAATAAGTACACAGAAGTGGCATAGCTGAGTTGTATAGCAGTGCTATTTTTAATATTTTTAGGCACCTCCGTACTGTTTTCCACAGTGGCTGCACCAATTTACAATCCCACCAACAGTGCACAAGGGTTGCCTTTTTTCAACATCCTTGTCAACACTTGTTTGTTGACATTTGATAATAGCCATTCTGACAGGTGTGAGATTGTCCCTCATTGTTGTTTTGATTTGCATCTCTCATATGATTAGTGACTTTGAGCATATTTTCATATGTCTCTTGGCTTTCTGGATGTCCTCTTTTAAAAAGTGTCTACTTAGGTCCTTTGCCCATTTTTTGATTGGATTGTTTATCTTCCTTTTGTTAAGTTATATGAGTTCCCTATAAATGTTGGAAAAATATTTTAGATGTAGTTGATTGACTTTGATACATAATTCAATTAAGTAGGAACAAATACTTTAAAAAATACTGCTTTAATAAAAAAGAAAAGGTCATTGCTATACTTCAAAATTTAGCAGGCTTTTCTAGATAATTGCCATCTTGACAGGTGGGAGGTGATATTTCGTGTGGTTTTGACTTGCATTTCCCTGATGATTAGTGATGTTGAGCATCTTTTCATATGTTTGTTGGCCCTCTGTACAGGGTAGGGCTAAAGTAGTTTTAGAGTTATGAGTATGCAAAACACAGATTTAATTCTTTGTATTATCATATATTAATTTCCAGTGGGAAGAAAGATAGATTTATGAAAAACAATTTATTTCTGTATTATTTATTAACTATTGTATTAGTTTCCATACAAACAACTGTAAACCTACTTTTGTTCTGCTGTGTATGCCTTTGGAGAAATGTCTGTTCAGGTACTCTGCCATTTTTTAATTGGATTGTTTGTTTTCTGATTTGTGAGTTGATTTCATCATATATTTTGGATATTAACTTCTTATCTGGTATATCATTAGGTTGTCTTTTTGTTTTGTTGATGGTTTTCTTTGCTGTGCAGAAGCTTTTTAGTTCCATAATGCTTTTGTTGCTGCTGCCTGGAGAGACATCTCCAAAAAAATATTGCTAAGATTCATATCAAAGGGTTTACTGACTATGTTTTATTCTAGGAGTTTTATGGCTTTTAAAGACTTATACTTAAGTCGTTAATCCATTTTGAGTTTACTTTTGTATATGGTACAAGCAAATTGTCCAGTTTTATATTTTTGCATGTATCTGTTTAGTTTTCCCAACACCATTTATTGAAGAAGTTGTCTTTTCCCCACTGTGTATTCTTGCCTCCTTTGCCGTGGATTAAGTGACCATATAAGTGTGGGTTTCTTTCTGGGTTCTCTATTCTGTTCCATTTAGGTATATAATTGTATTAATTTTAGAAACATCTATTGAAAGCCCACTCTGCCAAGTTCTATGCTCTTTGAGATATTAATTTGGGAATTATTCATAAGAATAATCTCAGTATACTACACATGAAGATAGATGATAGATGATAGATAGATAGATAGGTTCATAAGAATACTCTCAGTATACTACACATGAAGATAGACGATAGATAGATAGATGGATGGATTTGAAAACATTGGTGTATAACAAAACCCATATTTACAATGTGCTTGTAGATGCTGTGAGAAAACCATGGAGGTGATGAGAAACTCTAAGGAAACACTGTTAACCATTGTGGAGGTAAAGTGTATTTACAGAAGTCTTTATTTCTCTACCTGTCAGGCTGTTAGCAAGTCACTGATTTGAGGGTGAATGCCTCATTTCCATGCGGTGGAGTGATGGGGGCTGCAGGAGGGGAGGGGCTTGCACACATGGGTGAATGAATAGTGGTTTAGAATGGCTCCAGCTCCCTCCAGTTTCTTACCGTGTTACAGCCCAATAGTCATCTCTAGTTTTTATTACATAAATCAGCACTTTTATATCTTAGACTTCTCATTTTGTATTGTTTTCAGAATGGATTCCATTGCAGGATTAAGAGAAATCATTAGTTATCTCCCACCCCGAGGTTCAGAACCATTTAGTCTGGCAGATGGAGGTCAGAGTCAGCATTGGCAGTGGAGGGGCACGGCTGCAAGTGCAGACTGGCCTGCAGCCGTGTTCCCTGCTGTGTAACCTTGGGGCATGCCCGCTGCACCAGGCTCACTGCCTCATGCTGAACAGGGCAGAAAGGGGCGGAAGTCGAGCACATTTCCAGCGCTCATGACCTTAGCTTTCCCCGGCGAGAACTGGGTAACTAAGGCAGGCGTTCACCACCCTGGTAGAGTATCTGCAGCAGCGACGAGGAGTCTTTCCTCCTCAGGGAAGCATGGGACGTGGAGCTTGGGCATGCCTCCCTCACATCCCTTAGCTTTTTGTTCCGTTAACCGGGTGGTGCTGGCCCTGGCTGGACTTCAGTATCCCCTGTACTGCGTTTACAGAATATTGATGCTGACCAAATTCGAACATTTGTATTTTTTAAAAACTGTATGCAGCCAATTCACCAGCATTCACCTTTGAGCCTGTGGTCAACAAGGGTGGGTGTATCCTGAGTAGAGTGAAATTAACAGTCTGTTAGGGAGGTCCTGTGTCCACCTTATGAACCACGGAGATCTGTGGAATGCTGGTGGCAATACGGATTTTTGCTACAAAGAGGATCCCAGTAGTATGTTGATAATTTAAATAAAAGGCTGTACTCAAGGCTGAATGAAGATGCATTCCCTTTTCTTCCTTCCTTCCTTCCTTCCTTCCTTCCTTCCTTCCTTCCTTCCTTCCTTCCTTCCTTCCTTCCTTTCTTTCTTCTTTCGTAATCAGGCAGCTGATTCCTACCAGGGATCGAGGCCACAACCCGGGCATGTGCCCTGACCAGGAATCAAACTGGGACCTTCTGGTTCATAGATCGATGCTCAACCACTGAGCCACACTAGATGTCAACCACAACACTAGACCTTGGGTATTGAGGAGCTTTCAATAAATTATACCTTTTTTTTCTCCCCTCAAAGTTGGAACTGAGAGAAAAAGCCTTAGAATAGGATAGAGTTCAAAATGTCAGGTTGTTAGTGATAAAACTGTTGGAGAACATGGCCTGCAAGTGAGATCCAAATAGGCTTGTTAGTGCTGTCCACCTCCCATGACCTAACCTGTCCCACCTGAGGGAGAACGGGGCTTGCAGAGTACATGCCCTTATCCAGGACAGGAGAGAGAAGAAAAGGAAGTGACTGGTGGCTTATCCCTTCTAATAGGTTAGTTTCACCCAGTAAGGAAACATGGTCAAGGTGTACCCCCACCAGGGAGGAAGAGTGACTCCAGAACGGGATAAGAAGCCCGGAGCATTATGCTCATGTAGTTTCCTCCGTAAGGAAACAAGAAGCCTGTGCAATAAGTTTGTCCCTCCTGCAGTCGACTGCCGTATGACTGGCCGCTGTTATGTTTATAATACTGGTTATGCTGTTTATAGCGACACCATCACAATGCACATTGTTCTTCTGATACGTCTGTTCTCTCTGTCTAGGTCCTCCTGTATGATCCTCTCTTTGACTGGACCATGAATCCTCTGAAAGCTCTGTATTTACAGCAGAGGCTGGAAGATGAAACTGAGCTTCACGCCTCGCCCAATGCAGATGACCGAGAATGCAAACGAAACCTCAGGTGAGCGTATTTTAGGAAAGAGCTAGAGTCAGTCGTTCAGATGTTCCTATTCCCCAGGCCCTTTGAACTGTTCCACCTCATTAACACCTTTGTGTTTTTGTCACTAGTGAAATGGACCAGAGTTTCAACAAAGTAGCTGAGCGTGTCTTGATGAGACTGCAAGAGAAACTAAAAGGAGTGGAGGAAGGAACTGTGCTCAGTGTGGATGGACAAGTGAATTTGCTCATACAACAGGCCATGGACCCCAAAAACCTCAGCCGACTTTTCCCAGGATGGAAAGCGTGGGTGTGATATCTGGCATATGAAATTCCCTTGGATTCAACCTTCAGAGGTTATATGTTGGCCTTTATTTTTGACCCACCTCCATACTTTGAATATATGGTATTAATATTAGCTAAGCGAACTACTTACTGTGTTGTTTAAAAAGTGTTTCATATTCGCTTCAATCACCTAAAGTTGCTTTGAGATCTCAAGGGACATCTCTACTTGCACACTTTAGAAATAATTATCATTCATGCTCTACTTCTAGGCTAAACATTCTCCTCAAATTCATGCCTGTATCATTTCCGGTAGAGTCACTGACTTATTTATGCTGAAAATGGAAGCAGAGGAATGCCTGAATATCACTGACAGTTTCTCCTGCCTTATATATTAGAACCACTGGTTTTAATTAACATTTGTTTCCCAGATATTACATATGAATGAAAATTATTTGATATTAACATATAAAAGGAAGAAAAAAATTCAAAATTGTAACCATCAGGGTAAAAACAACCTTAAAAATAAGAAACAATGTTGGAAACAGTAGCATTTAATAGGTTTGGGTTTTTAGTAGCAAGATCACTCAATGTTACTGAATAAAAAGTTGTATGGAGAAAAAACTTCAAGTATGATTACTATTATAAAAAGATGTATACTGACCCTACTCATTCTATCCTCTTTACCTTTTAAGCCCATCTGTGTTTTCCATTACTTTATCTTTCTGTGATGCCTTCATCTCTGTCTTCTATTTTTTTTTTTAGTTCTTTTTTTTATTTTTTTAT